TGCAGAGAGGTCTGTTAACACATGTTCAAGTGCATAGTGTGGAGGATGTCGTAAGGCCTCGAGGCAGTTGGGTCTCAAACACAATATTTATGAGCTTTTGAATTTGTAAATCGGTCGGATTTGACGCGAACATGCAGGAAGGTTGCAGCACCTGCTCTTAGGTGAAGGCTCTGCCTCCCACTTTTATACTTTAAATACTCTCCAAGTACAAAAACAGAGTGTAATGTGACGATTGTCTGAGAACTGTTGTGCAGTATAAAGTGCAGTAACTCTGTGAATGTTTCTTTGACTTTCAGTAACTGGTCTCCATGTTTCGAAGCAAAGCCCAGCGCAGACTTCCTTCTCTCATCATGCTTCTCATTCGCCCCTCAGATCCCTCACGTGAAGATCGGCCCGGAGGAAACGCCCAAGCTGCCGTACCTCCGCTTTGCCTCGGTGACCCTCTACCCGAGTAACGAGGACCTGAGCCTGGCCATCGGCTCCATCCTGCGCTCCTTCGGCTACCCGACAGCCAGCCTGATCTGTGGCAAAGCAGAGTGTGAGTGTCGTGGTTATTCCCACTGCAGCTCCGTCCACACTTAGGGCGGAAATGATGGATTTTAGAGCTCCAGTGTCTTGGGTTCGAACATTATGAGACGCTGGCACGTGATGCACATTCACAGATCATCTCACCTTAAACCACGAACGCTCCCCGATCCCTGTCCGGTTGCGTGTTGGCGCCCGTTCCCTTGGGTTGAGGTTCTGTTTGGACGATCAGTCCTTGCTCTTCTCTTTGAGCAACACGTTTCACGAGTCCGTCCTCGTCCCCCTGCAAACCCAGCATAACCCCCCAACATTTCCTGAAGTCAGTTTTCACCATTTTCCACCAGCGTCGAGCCCTCGGTGCCGATGGCTTTGATTTCTTTTCTGTTGTTTCTTCTTCTTCTGAGTTTTCTCTACTCCTCTCTTTCCTTTCCTAATTCCTCTTCTCTCACACACTTCCTTCCATTCTTCCTTTCCTCTCCTGAGGACTCTAGTCTCCTCTCTTCCTTTCCCTTGTTCTTTTTCCCCTCCGTCCTTCCCACATCAGTCTCCCTCAGCTTGGATCCAGCTGACTGATCTGCCCCAGCTCTCCGCTCTAACATCTCCCGGTCTTTCGTCGTAGCCTCGGCCCGTTAATGGCCTGTATTGTGGTCCTGAGCGCTGCTGTCAGCCAGTTAAACGCTTTATGGCAGCGATTAGTCGAGACACGCCCGCTGCTTCTGTCAGGGACAGACGAGGTAATGAGCCGGAGGCCGACGCCTCTGAATGTCGAAGCCCAGGTGATGCAAACACAGCAGGCTTCTCGCCGGTTTGTAACGCGACTGCTTCTGCTGAGGTCAGTCTGTTTTCTCCCGTCCTGTGATTATTGACGCTGCTCGCATCCAGCATGTTTTTCACGACGTGAACGCGTCTCATGTTTGGCCCTGCTGTGGGATACCGCCTCAGTGGCAGCGATGCACAAACGCCAGCACTGAGTGTAATGGAGAGAAGTAACCACAGAAACGACTGATCAGAAGCGGTAATAAGTAAATCCTGCCTCAGCCGTGAGCACTCGTGGGTCCATGTTATTCTCAGAGGAGAAAATTAATGGACTTTCAACATAATCGCCTTTATCCCGCTCTGTTTATCGCTTCCTTTTAGGCCTGGAAGTCTGTAGAGCAGCGGCAGTTATTTGTCTCTCTAATGACTCCAAGTCTCATCAATTTTCTTTTTACAAGTCAGAGCAATAATTTTACAAGCAAACAAGCTAAACACTCAGGCGAGCATCGTTTATAGACCCCGCCTCTTTTTCAGGCACTTAGGAGCACTTTGGATGAAGAGTTTTGTCGCTGCGTGACGTAACTTTCACAGCCAAGTGTTTCTGACTGGGAACCGCAGTCCGCCATCGCTCAGACACGTGTGTGACTCATGCTCCTTTCCTGCCCCGTAGGTCTGCTGCGATTGGAGGAGCTGGTCCGCCGCTTCCTCATCTCCAGGGAGACGCTGTCGGTGCGGATGCTGGACGACAGTCTGGACCCCACCCCCCTGCTGAAGGAGATACGTGATGACAAAGTGGCCACCATCATCATTGACGCCAACGCCTCCATCTCGTATCACATCCTCAGGAAGGTCAGCCGTTTGCATCAGCGCGCTCGCGCAGCTTCTTACGTCTGATGCTTTTCTACTTTCAGTCAAAAGGAGTCGACGACTCTGTTCGTCCGTACGATTCATCGTAGCTGCAGCAGAAGGTTTGAAATGGCACATTTGATCCATGTAAGAGGAAACTGCAATGAATAATCTCAGCCGGCTTTAGAGAAGCTAAAAAACCATGTTTCCAAAATCGGCTCGTGTGAAGTCAGCAATAAATTCACGGACTTGGCAGCGATGCGCTCGGCGGTGTCATGAGCCAAAGCTTAATGGGAGCTGCAGTGCAAAATCACCACTGAGTACAGTAGTGCAGGTTAAATAAGAAGAATAAGGAACAACAGAGTTTTTAGGGTTTAATTGATGCTCAGGAGCACAGCGTGAGAGAAGAGGAACGGAGCTGAGATTTAATCCTAAAATACAGGAAATATGAAAACCCTCTGCTAGCACGACAACACTAATCATTTTAAAACCACGATCACAGCATGACACGCCCACTTTGTGCATACAGAGCAGATCAGGACACGTCAGGTGGAAAAAGTTCTGCAGGTCAGACACGATGCGTGTCCGTCACACTGAGATCTGTCTGCCACGCGGCGCCGTATCTGCACACGCCTCTCTGACTTCAGCTAGCTTTAGCGGGGCGTGGTCCCACCGACTGCAGCTAATGTCCCAAACATGTGCAGACCAGTGTTGCCAACTTAGCGACTTTGCCGCTATATTTAGCGAGTTTTCAGACCCCCTTAGCGACTTTTTTTCTAAAAAGTGACTAGCGACAAATCTGGCGACTTTTTCTGGTGTTATTGGAGACTTATTTATGATGACTTTTTGACGTGAAAGGGCGTGTTGCTCTTACTCTCAACAAGCTGCGGTGCTGCCGTGGGCACCTCACCCGTGCTAAAGCGCTCAACGGCGGAGGATAGTCCTCCGCCAGCTGCTATCAGGGCAGGAGACTGCATTTAGGACGTTTTTTGCTCCCTTTATGTCTCTTCCACGATGTTATGTCTCTCTCCAACAGTGTAGGTTACAATTATATTAGCATGACCAATTATGCAAATTAGGTGATGACGTCATTTAGCGACTTCTAGCGACTTTTAGGACAGCCAATAGCGATTTTCCTTACTGAGGAGTTGGCAACACTGGTGCAGACGTGTCCGATGCAAATGCAGAGTGCACACCTGTATCATGTGGCACAATAAAACGTGTCAGTGTTTGAACGTGTTGTTAAATGTCTGCCTGTGTGCAGCCCCGGTTCCTGTTCTGGAAGCGTCTTCTTCCTCTCTGCTGTTTACAGGGTGGAACAGGACCTTCAGACACGCTGGGCTGGTTTTGTGCCAAACTGGCTGTGAGCGTCGACAGACTTTTAAGCCACGGGCTAAATCGACCTGCGTTTGGCAGGTTGCAGTTTCCCTCTCATAGCAGTAACCTTGGGGGGTGCAGGAAGTTTAAAATTCAAAATTACTGAGTAAACTCAGTCAGGACTTTTCAAGTTGGGCTGCTGCTTCAGGCTGAAGGAGATGTAAGCTGACAGTGTGCAGAAGGTTAATGGATTAATAAGTGAAGCGGCGTGCAGGCTCTGCGGTGTGAGGATGCCAGGTTAAATCCTCCGCTGCCTGTCGGAGCCGACGTCCCGTACGTGTGGAAGGTGAGCGTGCCCGAGATCAGCTGAGCTGTGACTGAGTTTGAGTCTCTGCTCGGGTCGAGCAGAAAACATTCAAACATAGAAAAGTACTCCAAGGGTCTGCTGCTACCAGGTTTTCACCGTGAACTTCACAAAGATATGTATGTTGGCTGTCCACACTGACTCCTGCTGTGGGGAATCTGCTGTTCTCCCGTGTGTCGCATCATAACGTTGAAAGATATTCCAGTTTTCTGCTTGCTCTTGTATTTTTAGCTAAATTCAGCCCAGTTTAAATGTCTTTTCACCTGAGAGCACGCTGCCGTTATTATCATCTCCCTGAAACGTCTTTCATCACTGACGCGTCCTGGAGACGGTAACCACGGTTTCCAGGCTGTTATTAAGTTTGAGCGATGGTTCCTTTTTAAATAAACTCTGGCTCGTTTCCACGGAGGATGCTTAGCGTTTCTTCTGCTCTTCTGCAGGCTAACGAGTTGGGGATGACGTCCGCCTTCTACAAGTACATCCTCACCACCATGGTAAGAGCTCCACACCTCGCCTTCACCTTCATCGCTCGCCACTTAGTTGGATTCTCCTCATCTTCACCGGTCCTTCAATTCCTTCCATGAAGAAGATGCTTCTTAGTGGTTTTCATAATCGTCTGATTCTTCATCTTCATCACTTAGTGACCCATTTTTAACCTCCTCCTCCTCCACAGCTTTCTTGTCCACAGGCTTTGATACTATTGATAACGGCTGATAAAGGAATCGCTCAGGGATCGACATTATTTTGCTCTGTACGTGACACACCAGCCACATTTATGCTGGTGACTCAATGCTGTTCCTTTCCTTTCCTGTTTTTCTTGTTTCCTTTCCTAAAGATGATCCGTTGCCTGATCTTTTTCCTACTTTCTTCTCCTCAGTTTCATTTCCTTTTCTGTCCTCTATCTCTTCCATCTGTTCTCCTTCCATCCTTGTTTGTGTCGCCTGCAGTGATGGGCGTTACTTTTTTCAGTAACGAGTAATCTAACTAATTACTACTCCTGCTGTTACAACGCCGTTACCGTTACTAAAATGCAGTCGTGTTACTATTTTTCAACAAACAGACGGCTGAAGCTGTGTTCAGCTTACTGCATCTTATATCAGCACGGAAGCAGCTGTAAGTAATCTGGACGCTGCAGCTTTAAGCAGCTGTGCTCCCGCGGACGGCAGTCACTGTCTGGCACAACAGCTGGAGCTCAGGGGGCAAAACAATCGCACGAGTGCTGCTGTTTGACTGAGGAAGAATAAAGGAGTCGTGGTCAATCACATGACCACTTAAAGACAAAGCAACAAGGTGACATGTACCAGTTTATAAACTGCGTTGATCGGCCAGTAAAACCAGAGTCATGATAAACAAGACATACGCCTGTTTTTCCTCAATGTTTCGTCACATTTCCTCTCTAAGGACAGCAGCGAGACCGCTCTGCTTATGAGCAAACAAAAATCAGCCCGTTCATGTTGGTGGAAAAATGCACCATGTGGACCAATGAAAAATGATATGGTGACGTGATGTTTGGTTGTTTAGGAAGAGAGCGAGTTTTGAGATGTGAGAGTTTTGTGACATTTAGTGTGTTTGGAGTGTGTAGTTAGTGTGTTGTCTTGTGTAATTAGTGTGTTATGGATAGTTTTGTGTTGTGTGTCAGAACAATGAGGCGGCTGCTGTCTCCAGGTAGAAACAGCAGTGACACACCTGCTGCTGTCAGAGCTGCAGGTATCAGGTATCCCTGTGAGCGTGAAGCCTTTCCAGAGGTGCTGTCGTCAGCCAGAGGAGGCCGTCGGTTCAAATCCTGAGCCAATCCGGCCGCACTTGCAGACAGTAACTGAAATAGTAACTCCTGCATGTGGCGAGCTCTCACGGGCGCAGTGAGGTCAGCAGACACTACGTTCAAACGTCTGCTCGTGAGCCCATTATTGCTGCTTGTGGCCATATTTTCTCATTACTTCAGTCTCCTCCTCTGTTATAGTCTCTATTTTGCCTCCCTCCTTCTTTCTTGGCTTGTTTATTCATTTTGTTTCTCCTTCTTCTGCCAACACTTTCTTCTTTCTCGCCTTTCGCTGCTCGTCTTCTCGTCTGAATCTGTGGCGGTTCGTTCCGACTGCTTCCTGCTTCCTCTCTGGCCCTTTGCTTCTCTCCTCTTCTTTCACTCTTTTCTCGTTCTTACTCGTCTCTTTTTTCCATGCTCTCTGTGCCGCTGCGTTCCTTCGGGATGTTTGTAGGTCACGTGCTGAAGCTAAACTCTGTCACCTCCCCCGTGTCACGCATGTCCTCCCCCTCCGCTCTCCTCGTCTCTCGGTGCTCATCGCGGATGCACGCTTGTCCCGCCGCCGTTTGTCATCATTAGAATTTTGCTGTTCGGTATCGTGCCCTTGTACGAGAGACTTTGTGTGGATAATAACTCGTCTCGATCTCCGCCTCGACTCTAAATACTGTCGTGTCACATTCTTTAACGGCGCCGATTGCGCGGGGGCTTGACGCCGCGTTCGCAGACCAAGGACGAAATCACCCCCGCAGTAGAACCCTGGAAGGGAACCAAAATGAAAATGATTTCTCAACACTTCCACACACACCTGCCGTCTCTGACCTACCTTTAACTTTGCCATAAACACGCTCGGCTGACTGTGACAGGCTGACTTCAGGGCGCCGAGTTCATCGCCGTTTCACCACGAGGAAGGACTCAGCGGTCTCTACATTTATCATTTTTATGAAACAAGCTGTTTTCTGATTGGCTGTTCCCCACAAACAGAAGGTTTGAACAGCATGCTAGACATGAAACCTCCTGGTTGCAGGGTTTAGTCGGGAGTGCTCGGAGAGAAAGCTTTGCCCTATCACGTTCAGGATCATCTGGACCGCTTCCAGTGAGGCTGCTGTGCTCTGCTTTGCACTGGACACATGGAACTGGGCTTGGTTAGGCTGCTGGAGACTTGCTCAGTTTAGCCAGGTGGGCTGATCGCCTGCTGTCAGTGCACGAACACGGGGACGGTGCATTTCTATCATCTCAGATGTACGTGTGGAAATATGTTTGAGGCTTTGTGCTGCTGAAAACGTGGCTCCATGTGAGTGTGTGAGAGAGTCAAACAGCATCGGAGGAAGTTGACTGAATTTCAGTGAAGTGGTTGGAGTGGTTGTGATGACATCAGGACCGCCTCCTTTACTTACCTGCATCATGGTAGTTTTGTCTTGTTTTTGTCTCTTTAATATTTCATTTTCACTTCTCTTAGTGTTCGTTTGGTTTCTGGTTCTGATTCTTGTGTTTTTGGACATTTTTCCTCTCTCTGTGGTCGTTTCGTGTGTTTTTGTGCTTGAATGTTGCCGTTGGGGTAGAGGACAGTGTTGTAGGTCAGGGTGAAACCATTAAACAGTGTGCGGCAGCTGGTGTGGCTCAGAGGCTGTTTTGTGTGTCGGTGTTTTGTAGAAGGTTAATTTGGCCTCGGCGAGGAGCTCGGCGTCCTGAAGTTCCATGAAGCGAGTTTCTAACTGCGTGGCGTCTGGGTGAAGTCATCGGTGAGTCATGGTATCGATCAGCAGCCTCATCAACCCTCTGCAGATATATGGCGGCTACGTTCTTGTGAATGTGGCAGGAAAGGTTGTAAATCTTTCTGATTGCTCTTTAAACGTCGCAGATTGAAACGATGGTGGAGACGGTGCACGTCTTCCTCACCCCGACCTTGTCCCGCCCTGTTATTCCTTAACTTCCTGCGTCGGTGTGCTGCACTCTGTGTCCCGGGATGCTGTCGCAGTGTTTCCTCCCCCGGTGGCGCTGGCCGCTCGCTGCTGCTCCTCCAGCCAACTGCTCTCCGTCACGGCTGGCAGGCCGGCCCTCTGACAGCGCACTTGGCTGCAGCTGAAATTGATTTGGCAGCAGCAACAACAACAGCAGCAGTTTCCCAGGAGGCGGGGACGCCACTCGGAGGGATTGAGGTAGACGGATGCTGACCTCACAGGCAGGTCAGCCCCGGTGCTAAACAGCCGGGCCCAGAAGAGTCGGCGTGTGAATATTCTCGGGATGTTTGAGTCCCGACCTCGCGCCTTCCACAGACTCTTTTCTGCAGACGGGAGAGAATCTGAGCCAAAACGTTTTCACGCTGCCAAATAACGATGATGACAACCTGTCCGTGCAGCAGCACGCCAGACTGACGGCCGCTGACCGCACGCCTTTCCAGAGTTACACTCTTCACATCATTTTTAAACGAAATGATAAACGTCAGCACACGAACCCAAACAAGCTGAAGGGCAGAGAGTGCCAAAGATACGTCGGCCTGCACATCATCATCGCCATGTTGTTGTTGTCGTCAGGGCAGAAAACTCAAATGAGTAAAAAGGTCCAGCCTGAGTCCTGGGTTGTGATTGGTTAACATCAGACTCCGCCTGGGTCACATGTTGGATAAAGAAATTTCTTAAATGTGAATCAGGTGAAGGTAGAGCAGAGTAATTATGTACCTGAGGAGGGCGTCGAGAGTCACATTTGGATCATTAGTGCAGTTTATGAGGCAGGTGTGTGTCTGTGTGTGTGTCTGTGTGTGTGTGTGATTATTTGTGTATTCGGTCTAATGAGGCTCTTAACGTCACAGTTTGATTTGAGCTTCTTTTCATTTAAAGTGTTTGTGAGTCTCTCACATGAGTCGTGCTCTCGTCTGACTCCGATGGCTGAAGCTGTCTCCTGTTCTTCGTCCTGTGACGACCTGTTTTCGTGCTGCCTCTGCTCATGTTTCACGCATTAGAGAGTAACTGTTCATGCACCCTGATACTGGTACGAGCATCCTCTATCCGATGGTGCAGATGAGTCAAAACTGTTTGTATGGACCAAACCAGAATTAAATATTACACGATGAACATTTTCGTCTTGCCTGTATCAAATGAAGCACACTGTAGCTTCCAGGTTGACTGCACAGAGTCACAGTAAGGCTGTGTCCCGATTCAGGGTCTGCAGCCTTAAAGGCCGCATTTCAAGGCCGATTACGTCACAGCGGCGCGCCGAAGGCTGTCCCAATTCAAAGGCTGCTCGAAATGCGGCCCTGAAATGCGTCCTTTATTTCCCTGAATTTTAAGGCTGTGGCGGTGTAGACTTTGTGGTCCAACATATCCCAGAATGCATAGCGCGGCGGTGGGTGTGGATAATTTTGCCGAAGAAAAACGGTGGATGAGGGGCGGCTGAAGAGTGAACTTTAAGTACTGAATATTATGTCACTTATTTATGTGCAAATGTTTAATAACGAAGAACATTAAACATTCCTGTTGGCCACATGTCTGCAAAGTCATGTGACATTAGTAACGTTTGTACTAACTTGGTTTTAAAGCCTTTACTTTAAAATATACGCTGTTCAATAGCTGAGCTTAATCAGAGAATGATCAAAGCTCATGTAGAAACAAACAAATGAACAAAAGATTTTCTCCTTTTTTTTTCTGTCAAACAGCTGTATGACACGTTTCCAGCTGTTAGTATCATGGTTGCTAGGCAACCTGGGCAGCGCAACGAAGGCTAGACCGTCCCATTTCACAAGCCTCGCACTTCCGGCCTTAGTGGTCTTTGAGTACGCGGCCCTTGAGGATCGTTGAGGCTGCAGAGCCTGAATTGGGACACAGCCTAAGTGTGGCTGTGCAGCGGCTCCAGCCTCTCTTCCCACAGTCAGTCCCTAACCCCTGGTGGTGAACAGAGGAAGTGCAGTTTTAGGGGTTACAACATACAACATACGTTTCGGTTCAGCTCAGCTGAAAACAAAGGAACTCTTCATTCTTTTCAGGGGAACACGATTACTGAGCACAGCTTGTACTGTCGAGGTGAAGCCAGCAGCCGGACGTTGGTTTGGAGTCTGCCGGCATTCCCGACTCGTTCCAGCTAAACATCTCATTGTCAGCATCTGCTGCACAACACAAACCCTGCGAGGGCTGAGCAACATTTTGTGGTTTATTTCAGCAGCACAGCTCAGCGTGACACCAACTTGCCTTCAAGGACTATTTGAAGTTCTTTGAAATCCCCGGCGTTTGATGTCCATCTTTTTTCAAACAAAAAGGAAAGAAAAGGGTTTTTCTCTGCGTCCCTGTTCTGAATTTAAACACTGTGCTTGATGTTGTGCAGCCGGCAAAGAAAACTCCAATCAAGCTGTTAAAGCTGTTTGTTTCTTTGTGCTTTGTTGTTCTCTTTCTCCCTCTGCATTTCAGATTCTCCACCCCTCCGTGGTATCTGCACGTCCCAGCGGCCGCTCGTGTCTTCTTCTGTTCACTCGCTCTTTCTGTCTCTGTCTTCAGGATTTCCCCCTCCTGCGACTTGACGATGTGGTGAACGATCAGTCAAACATCGTGGGCTTCTCCATGCTGAACATCAGCCATCCTTTCTACCTGGAGTTCATCAGGAGCCTCAACCTGTCCTGGAGGGAGGGCTGCGACGTCAGCCCGTACCCGGGACCCGCGGTGAGACGGGACAGAGTACGACCCCGAGAGCGTCTCACCTCACCTCATCTACTGCCACACTATCAGAACCGTTAGAAGATATCCTCAGTGCTTAAAAGACTTCTTGTCTTTATTCAGCTTAAAGGTTCAAATGCAAATGTAGCTTTTAGAGAAGAAGCAAAAGCAGAAAGTCAGAAATGAATCGATGAAAGGTGTGAGTAGGCTTAGTTTGCACAAAGAGAGGCCGACGAGCTGCTCACGGGTCCTCGAAACAGTGCCCATTATTCACACGCAGTGAGACTGGTGTCCTTTTGACACAGTTACTGAGCAGCGTGTCTCCGCCGTACACAGGCTAACCTTCAGCCTCCTGCGCAAATGTGGGTCACTGTGTCACAAGCTGCTCTTTGGGTTTCCTGAGATATGTGATGTTCGCAAACGAAGTCAGCCAATCAGTGATCTATTTATCACCGTGAAGCGCGCCTCAACATCACAGAGGCGTTGGAAGCGTTGGCTGTAAGGTGTGCTGGAAGCACAGTGCTTCGGTCAGCCATGCTGTAATATTGCAGGATAGTAATACATGTGCTGGCTCTGAGAGGAGGAGCCTGAGCTGGTCCATGAGGTGGAGACATGCCCAGTATAGTTATAGTTAACTGTTCCAGCCTGGAGACCTGGAGGAGCAGTCGATAAGAACCCCCGTCTTCCTCTACAGGAGCTGAGCTGTAGGCTGACTCACTACATGGTGTTCAGGTGGATCAGGTGGACCCCCACATTTGTGCAGAGGACAGTAGATCTCTGTGCTAACTACCAACCCGACACAGGAAAGAAAGAAGTCAGTAAAGAGTAAGATTGAAGAAACGCTTCCGTCTAATGACTTCTGCACAGTTGCTTGGATACCAAGCTTCTCTTGCACGTGGAGAAAAGGCCAGCACAAATCCTGATGTTTGTAAAATGTTAGCTTGCCCTTTGCTGTGCCACAGCCACACAATATTTCAGTGTCACTGCTCGACATAATGAAGCAGCTAAATTATGATCCTGGGATAATGAGAGGTGTTAATCAGCAGATCAAGGTGTGATATTTAGAGATGCTAAGGTAAGTAGGTCATCTACAGCAGGTTCAGCCCGGAGAGCGTCTTCGTCTGTCACTGTGTCTGCGTCTTTGCCCTGATCCATAATAAATAGACACATCAGGGCAAATCTGTCCCATCAGAGCGCTTTGTCTCATCTGCAGCTCTGAAATCAGCAGAGTGATAAGGCCAGCTTTAATAAAGATAACAGTTATGACAACAGTTTGCCTCAGTCACTGCAAACAGCATCGTATCCCCGGGGTTATTGCTCATATCTATTCACTTAAAGTGCCGGATGGATTTCATGATGAACTTTGTGATTGGGAAGTTTATGGATGTTACTGAACAATTAGAAAAGAAGAAAAGTTCCCATCTGAAATGACACAAAGTGAGATTTAACACCCGAGGTTTGTTTTCAGGACGAAGACAAACGGAAGCCCAAAGCAAATCACTGTCACTATGCTATACTTAAGTAGTACTGTACTTACGATTCATTTCTTGATTCATGAAATGAACTAACAGTTAATTAGGACACAAAGCAACGCACCGAGCAGCTCAGCAACACCAACAGACCTGAGAGACCACAGAGTCATTTATTTCACAGAGGACCTCTGGAGGAGGCTGACAGGTCTGCAACCAGGAAATGGATGGAAACACAGGATTTACAATAGGAAGGACGATCAGACTTAAAAGCATCTCAGACCTTACCTGCTGTAACCCCTCCTTACCTGCAGTAACATCTC